AGTTCTTCACCAGATCTTTTTTTTCATAAGAAAAAAAAATAAAAAATAGTGAATTGTTTAATTTTCATGTTATTTGTGTTAAAATTAAATATTTTATGAAGGTGTAGGCCCATGCATGCCCGTAAGCATACTGCGAACCTTTGAACTTGGACAATTTTTATTATTTTTCAATTAAAAAAAAGCACAAAAACGTCTTGGAAGGTTCGCCAACAGTTTTTAAAGTGTGGCCCATTAACTATAAACGGTGATGGCAACGGTAATAATGTCATACGGTTATAAGAAATAAAAGCATAGTAAATTTATCTACACCCACTTATTCAGATAAGACAGAAACGATGCAACAACGGCCCACATGATTGAGGGCTCGCCTTCTCAGAAACCTACAATATTTAATCAAGATAATTTTCATAAATAAATTAACTTGAAAATTCATCGAAGATTTTCACTTAATCGAACATTAATGATTAAGGAGTTTATAAAATTTAAGTGGAACTTGAAACTCTCGACTTAGATGAACAAGACTCGGAAAAATTGTAACGATCGGCAAAACATAAGGTTCGGCTTAAAAACGGGTCGAACGGCTCGAAAACGGACGGGTGAAAACATAAAAACCAAGTTGTTAGAAATTGGATAACTCTTCTAAGACGCAGTCGAATGATTTCGAACTCTTCATGTGATATGAAGTTCGATCTCTTGTATTTCCTCTATAACAAGAAATGACATATTGCTATTAGCTGCACAAATAAAATAAAAATAAAAATAGAGTTTAGAAAGTCACTGCCCTTTGCTGTGTTTCTTGATTGATAATTTTAGCTAAAAGAAATAAATTAAGAAAACGAATAATTAAAATGCTTGAACACGACCAGATGGTGTTCGACCGTGGTTAGAACACGACCTTATCGGTATTTCTTACTTGCGGGACGTATGTAACTCAAACTCGTAAGCTTTGTCTTCTTCCTTTATACCAAAAGGTTACAAACCCGACGGAATAGTCTCATAATGAGATCGTAGCATTTCCCATTTTTTAATTATATTTATGAACCAAAACCAAGGGCGTACCCATCAAGGACAACACTATATAAACCTCTTAACCCCACTTCATTTCAAACTTTAAAACACAGCTTTTTTCTCTACATATTAATTATTTCTCCAAAATCGAAACAAGAAATATATATTAAAAAAAAAATCAATTTAAAAAAAAAAAAGAAAATGCAAGCCTGCAGCAAAATTGGCCACATTGTCAGGATCCGGCAGATGCTCCGGCGGTGGCGGAAAAAGGCAGCGATGGCGGCGGCCCGTCGGGCACCCGCCGACGTGCCGGCTGGGCACGTGGCGGTCGCCGTGGGCTCCGGGCGCCGGCGGTTCGTGATACGGGCCACATACCTGAACCACCCTCTGTTCAGGAAGCTTCTTGTTCGGGCCGAGGAGGAGTACGGGTTCGGTAATTCGGGCCCTCTGGCGATCCCCTGCGACGAGTCTCTGTTCGAGGAAATCCTGAGGTACCTGGCCCGAAGTGAGCCCGATATGAATAGCTCGGCCCGGTCAATGAGCTTTGAGGATTTTCAAAGATATTGCAACATGGGCTTCAGAACTAATTTGGAGCTTTGGGCCGATTCAAGGCCCCTTTTGCATGGTGGGTCAGATAGGTCCATTTGGTGAGGGAAAAAAAAAAGGAGAAGAGGAATAATTTAGAAAAACTTAACTCGGATTTTGACCCGGATTGATTCGTTCGAGTTGGCTCTCTCATTGATTTTTTTTTATTATTATTATTATTTTTTTTGAGTTAACACATATCCAACGGTTAAAAATTGGATTGGTAGGTATGGAGATTTTTTTTTCTGTCTCTCTAATTTATCATTCATTTTTAATTTTTTGTTAACTTTTGTATTTTGTAATTTTGGTATGTAAATAAGATTTTATAATTTGCGATGTCGTGGTGAGTCACTGAGTTAGTGACTCGGAGAATGTGTTACTACTCACTAGTGGAGATGACAAGTGGAAGTGGGTGAGCGAGTCGCCACCGAGTCATCCCGGGTTGGAAATGGGAGCCGAGTCAGCAAACGATCATGAAAAAAATGCATGCAATAACGAGAAGAAAGGTGACGATAATTGATAATGTGATGATTTTGACAATGAGGTCAGCTCTTGTAAATGCCATATATATTGGCGATTTTTATTTGAATTAGTTTTAGTGACAAAATTATAAATACCTCAACTATTTTTTTTTTTTATTTAAGTTGTCATATTGTATAATAATTTTAATTCCCTTATTTTTATGAAATTTTTAAATCCTCAAATTCCAATAAAATATTTTAACGGCAATATATTTTAATATAACTCCAACAATAATTTTTTTTTTCAAACCGTTGAAATCATTGGAATTATGTGAATTTTAATATTTTATTTTGACCAATGTTATTAGAATATTCGTGGGAATTTTCTAAAAAAAAATATAACATTGGATGATAATTTGATTGGAACTTTATATGATTGAACAAAATGAAACAATTTGCACCATGTTTGCTCTTATTATTTTTTATTTTTTATTTTTTAATTTATCTCTCCTATTGTATAATCAATATTTTATAAGAAACAAATCATCTTATACTATGGTCCATCCATAATATATACCTAAAGTTCAGCAAACAAAATGCTACCATCTGATGACCAGAAAACGAAGCAATTTGTTCTGACATTTTAAAGCCTTCGCAACTCGATATTGATATGCACTATCAGTTTGCAAACACAACTCGATTTTGCTAGTGAAAATTCAAGCTTCGCTCATTTCTTTCTTTAAATAATCAGAGTTCGAACAACTAATTGAGCTTGTTTATTGAACAAATTGAGATAAACTAATTCATGAACATGAGGTATATCTTTATATTTCATGGATATTTGATGAAGACGAGACCGCTCTAGCCTTTCTCGACAAATTCGACCGTCTACGCATCTAGATTATTCTACATATTATATTTCGTATTATTATTTAGTAAGAGATATTTTATTTCTTTAGGAGTGTTTTATTATTTAGGAATAAATAAGATAATTATCTTGTTGCACAAGATAATTAGGATTAGGATTCTCTTTCATAGGACTCTATATATTGTCCTTCTTTTATGAAGTTTGATGGATGAACATTGAATAAAATTAAGAACTCTTGAGTTTTCTCTTATATTCCTTTCGTCTACCACGTTGCTGCATCAATATTAGTATATAAAACTGTTTATTCGAACTTCTTCACAAAAAAAAAAGTTTGCAAACATCTTTATAAGCTAGTCGAGCTGAGCTTTTCATAATTTTAAACTAGTCAGGCTTAAGCCAAGTATTTTGTTTGTTTATTAAGCAAACACAAGTTCGAACATGAGAAATCTGACTTAGCTCTACTCCGATCGACTTAAGTTACAACTCTAGTCATCAGGTCTCCAAACTCTACATGAAGCAGTCTAGACTATTGGACTTTGCGCAAGGAGGACTGTATTCTGGATCAGCCCAATGCGTATGTCCAAATTGTAAAATGTTGTTATAAACAAATGGAATAGATTGTGAAATATATTAGAACTTATAACATTAGAATAGTATAAAATATATCTATATTTATTTAATAAAATAATAAATGTTAAATACACATACATGCTTGGAATAAAAGGTGAAACATGTTTATTATTTAGAAAACGTAACGTGAATGTGATAAAGTCGAGTATGAATTGGTAGTTGCGAGGACAAACAAAGTATCACTACTGATTTGGGCCTTATAATACAATCAAACTGAATAAAATTGGGTCTATACAAAGCCCATAAAATTTGGGCTTTGGGTGCACTGTTCAGCCCTACAAATAATGGACATTCCACATGTAATTCTCACGAACAACCATAATATCCAAAACAATTTCTCCAGAAAATCCAAAGTACGAACATCAAAAGCTCCAAAATAATCCAAAAAACGTTTAACGAAAGGATTTTTTCTTTTATTTTTTTTTTTATTATTTTTTTTTTGTTTTTTTTTTATTATTTTTATTTATTTATTTATTTATTTTTGTTTATGTTTTTTTGTTTTGTGTATTTGCGCGCGAGACAGCCTAATCATTGGAAGGTTCATCATACTTTTTTAACAACAATAAGTCCTTATGTTATAAAATATATTTTTCTTTTTTTTTTTATGTTTATTTTAAAAAAATGGCAGGTAAATTTAAAGTATGTATAAATATCTAATAATTTAAGTTTGCCTAATAAAAATCTCACCTATCATATGTTAGTGGTTTACATCCAGTTGAAGTCCGAGTGTCAATTTATTATCTTGTTGAGATCCACATTCGAACATTATTCTATTGGGATCTTTGTGTGTTGTTTTCTAGTTGTGTTTCTTTGTTCTCGAATATTACTCCGTTGGGGTCAGTTCTAGGCTGTCTTTTGAATTGTCCTCTCACTTTTTCAACTGTTGATTGCTTGTATTCAGCTGTTAGCTGTTTGTATTCACCCGGTGAATGTCTTTTTACACTTTTGTGCGCGCTATATAATATATCTATCTTTTCGAAAANNAAAAAAAAAAAAAATATATATATATATATATATATACAACCAGTTGAGAATTTAACTTTTTACTAAGAGTTATCTACATTGTTGTCGGTTCCTATTTTTGCCATTTTGAAATAAATAAAATGAAATAACAACACCTGGTGAAACTTGCTGGCCCATGTGCATTTCTTTCACATTTCATTACAATTGGGCCTACTATCATCAATGCGTTCTGATTGGTAACCACCGGATTACATGATAGCTACCTTCTCTTCGAGGAGGGCTTGTGAGTCTCGACTAAAATCCGAGGTCAATGTAATTGAACGACGCGAAAGGACTGTATGACTTCTTAAGTTGAATGAAATTAAATATATTCACAATTAATATATAACATGTAGTAATATTTTTGATCTAATTCATTCATTTCTTCATTAATATCCTCATCCCTAATTCCAAAATTGATCATGGATTCATAACAGGGCCACACGTGCCATCCCCCAAACAAATTACCCAACAATGTCCTAAATGGGCTTGGGCCCAACGAGAAAGCCTAATTAAGACAGGGGTTCACGTGGCGCATGCATCCACGTGGCCGCATATGAATGGATCACATGTGGACCACTTAACCAGGCTCTCTGTGTAGTGCAGCCAAGAAACGTGCAGGCGCGTGCAAGACCACACACACTTCTTTTGTACTCATCGAAAAACTTCCTGCAAAACAACAAATGCTATAAACACTGAAATTGTTGAGGGTGTTTTTTGCAAATTAGAATAAAACAAAGGACCTGAAAAATTTCAGACAGCTTTGTAAGAGACAGGCTTTACAGAGGGTATCGAAGCAAAATAATGTATGAAAATCTAGGATTCCCTTGAATGCAAATTTAGGGCAGCATAACAAGACATTGGTTCTTTTGGGGTTTGGCCAAAAATGCGCCAATGATTATTATTCTTTTTTATAAAGAATATTTATTTTCATTTTTATTTTGACACAAATTTTTGCGTGGACCGACGTCAAAGCTACGAGGTTGGTCGACCTTGTTACACAATTGTGTTTTGATTACAATGGAAACCTATGAACTGACTGAAGAATTTAGTTCGTACAATATGAACTAAACAAAAAATATAAAATACAACTCGAATACAGACAGATTAAAGTCGAGGCGATTGAAATCTTTTCGCAAGACAAATACGCTCTGTATAGTGCTGATAGGTCTGTGAGTAATGTCCCCAAAGATACAACGGTTATACACTCGGAAGCTGTAGCACACCAGTCTTCAGAGTTCCAACGAACAGGAATAGAGACGAGAACTGAGCACTATGTGTGCGTGAGGCTATGAGAGATGAGAGAGTTGAGAATGTAGATGAGAATTTTTCGTGTCTCATTCAGTCTAATTTTCTCTACAACTCTATGTCCTATTTATAGGACTTCCATCATAAATGAGAGAAGTTTGATGGTCATCTTAGCCATTAATGGCATTCAATCCACCTTATAATGGCTACATTATGGTGATTAATTCACATTTCATCACCCTTATAAATGGGCAACATAATAGTGTTTAACTCACCATTAATCAACTTTATAAATGGGCAACATTATGGTCTTTAACTCACCATTAATCCACCACATAACTCTTGAAACCGTTATGTGGTTGAAAGGTCACACGTCCAGGTTCAATGTAGCTGGAACGATGTCATACGGGTTATGTCGAACCCCGAGTGCAAAACCAACTCGGTTTACATACCAACATTTGGTACATAACTTTGTTATTGTTGTGACCTCTCCAATTCTCTTTATCATAATAAAGAGAGTTAATCTCATTTAAAAGTTCTATGTGGGATAAGATATTTGACCATTCGAATCCTACAACCAACGTTTTGCGTGTCCATTTATGGCTAACATTTATTTCTCACTCACCGAAAATCAGTATTGAGAAATTAAATATACCACGAGTTTCTACTCGGAACGTAGAATTTGTTCTACACAATTTAATTCAATCCGAATTAAATATTTAGTCATCAACAAGTCAATCAAAATTGGATCATACCCAATTTTATATTACTGATTTTCCAACAGACCTGACATACTTTGTGAATAAAGTTACTAATAGTTATACTATCAACTATTATAATTCTATTTATAAGTATGCGCGTGTGTGAATGTTATGTTTATACATTTAAACTAAAATGACATATCCTGACAAACAATATAAACAAAAGTATAACATTTCATTACAAAAGTATGTGTTTTTATTACAAATGCATAGCGAACCAACCAATCTAATAAATAATTGAGTTACCTCAAACAAATCTTTTGTACAACAATAATAATTAGTCGGACGAATATATATATACACACGCAAACTTTCATCGATATTGACTAGCGATAATTTGTACGCAGATCAAACGTATTCGTTGTAATAATGCTTCTACTTTTAACTCAAAAATGGTGATAGATGAATGTTAGTAGTGATTATAATGTTTCATTTTCACACATTTCTATTTTATGTGCATTTTTGTCAATGAATTGAGGTGGTGATTGTTTAGTTTGGTTAGGGTAGAAAGTCAATTTTTTCATAATGGACTTGCCATCTTAAATTAAAA